TATTTGTACATTTCAGGTAGAACTTGTGCTTACCTTCGGATATTAAAACCCAGATCAGTTCCCCAGGCTGTACTTGTCAAAATAAGTGATTTTTGCAATTAAATGCACTATGACTGAAAATACAAAGTTTTGCAAAGCACTAGCATATTTTCCTGAAACTCCAAACAGCCTCAGCATGCCCAATTCTCTGTTGTCCAATTTTATAAAATGCCTCACCCTTACAACATTTCATTGGCAGCCAAGAGACATGTTAAAACAGCTTGTTAATGCAATATTAGCACATTAAGCAAACCCTCAAATGGCACCTAAAGTGTGTATGCATACAAATAGATGTTGCAATACATGACCTGACAAGCAAAAGGTATTTTACTTATATTACCTCAAAAACTACAAATCTTCAATACCACAGAATAATTAATTAAAATATAATTTCCCTGAGGTATTTCTTAATCCAAAACTGTTGTTAAATGACTTTAGTCCAGGTTTTGTACTGCAACGCTTTTCATAAATTGATCCTCAAGCTTATACTGATATTCAGCTAATGTTATTTTTATTGTGTTGTTGAATGACACTCCTGTGAGACAATGTGCCCCTTGACACAGACATGAAAAAAGAATCTTACCCCTTCAGCATACGAGCAAGATACCTAGACTGAAAGAAGTAAACATAAAATGTCATTATGTAGTCATTTTGTGGTTGTTGTGCGTCTCTTTATGGTCATTTTGTGTCTGTTTCAGTGACATTCTGCAGGTGAAACAGAACTCAGTAGCCTCAGTATGCTGTGCATGTCTGTGTTAACAGGCACTTCAAACAGAGGGTCTGGACCACCGGGCTAGTGCCTGATAACCCATCCATCCTCTTTTATTATGTAAAATGAAAGATCATTTTTAAGATCTTTGAAGGTGTGGGCTTGCAGTTTAATTACATGTAATACTTGAAATAATTAGTCCCCAGTATTGCCGATGTTGTCCACTGAGTGCTCTGCAGCTGTTGGCCAGCGCCATTTCACACACAAATGGACTGCTATTTAATAGTCTGTGAAAGAGACACAGACAGAAAGGTGGAAAATCCCTAGTATTTGAAATCATCCTTGAATATTAAAGCATCATGACTTTGTTGTAATGTTAACTTCTCTATAACCCTTTAACTTCTCTAGTCACAGTAACTGTCACTCTCTAACTGGCTTCTCTCAAACTGTAAATAAACCCACTCACTGTTTTAATCACACTCTTGATCTTGTTCTGACATATGGCATCAAAACTGAACACTTAATAGTTTTTCCCCATAACCCTCTTCTGTCTGACCATTTTCTAATAACTTTTGAATTTCCATTAATGGATTATACTCTATGTGGGAAACAATTCCACTACAGCAGATGTCTATCTGGCAATGCTGTTACCAAGTTTAAGGAAATAATTCAATCTTTATCTACTTCAGTGCCGTTTGCCAACACAGGGGAAGGAGGCCGCCTTAACTTTAGTCCCACACAAGTCGATAATCTTGTTGATAGTACTGCAGCCTTCCTGCGTAATATATTTGATACTGTTGCCCCTCTGAAAAAGAAGGTAGTGAAACAGAGGAGGCCCCGTGGTACAGCTCGCAGCT